AACAGTAATAAATTACGTGAGAATATTCATATATTATACAAGATGTCCAATTAGTGCTTAATTGCTGGATAAATCAATTTGTGTTATAGATACACAAACAAGTTTTGAATTAAAAGTTATATGGATTTGAAGAAGAGATATTTTAAAATTATTTTAGAAAATACAGGTTGTTATTTTTTTCTGGCAAATAAAAATGTTGCGTCCATTTAAATGTATGCCCCCTCCGCCTCGCAAGACTGGCTACGCCACTGAATTTTAAATATATAAGCTACCTATAATAAAAATCCCAATCCCCTTGATTGTATTTAGGCGGTACTCAGCGTATTTAAAATATTTGCAAAATCATTAGATTCCCTAAAAAAGTGACAGAAACTTCATATACATGTCAGTGGAAAGTCGTGGAACAATTCTAATTTTCTAAAAATGTTTCAATAGACAATAAAAATGTAATTATTAAAATAAATTTGAATACTAGGTGCTATATAACCTAGTTGTATTTACAGAGGCGTACCTTGCTATTCCTGCGTCCTTGGTAAAAAGACATGTACCCCCCACCACTGAAACTACCCCTTTCGTGCAGAACCAATTTATACCCTCTTCCCAGTGCCTCTATAAAGAAATAAATCTTCTATAAGAGTAAACATTAATAAAATAAATAATAAATAACTAAAGTATCTGCAATTACTACACACGTGAAACCTAGTTGGTAATTGATTTGATTTATAACTAGTTTTTAATAAATTAAAAATAGAAACACTTTATATTGTAAATAATTCATTAAATAAATTTATACGGTGTGTATACGTCTGTCTGACTGCAAGGATGTCAAGTCTTTAACACGGCCATACTATATTTGTTCAGTTGTCTGTTTTTTTTCCTAATTTAGTTAATAATTTGCAGTCTGCAGTCTGCCTCGTAGTTAGGTCTCTTGGGTTGTTGGTTGCTTTTTATTATCAAAGAATCAATGTAGATATTCTATTGAAAAATATTAAATACATTCATACAATTTCCCTCCATTGATTTCTAGTTATTGGTTGTCGATTTCTTTTTATTACCAAAGAATCAATGTATATAAGTTATTGGAAAATATTATACAGTAGGCGCCACCGGTAACGCCTCGCTCTGTAGGCTCAAAACTATTTGATTTTTTTAAAATCTGTTTTCACTGCGATATGTATGTTATTCTTTTCTAACATTTTAAATATACAAGGTATTCCAAGAAAGTTATACATATCAAAGTTAGTTTATTAAATGGAGAACCCTGTATTTTATTTTATATTTGTGTTTTCCTCTCTTTTCCCATTATACTCGTACCAATACAAAATAGTACGAGATGTTAAAGGGTATTGCCTTCGCTATAACCAGTTTTATATGAAAATCGTAATGATTTCAATGGCCTGTTTACTGCGAAAGAAACGATTGAAAACCAATTTTTTTGTTTTAAAATGTTTTTAATATTAGTCAACATTTTATGCCGATGCACTACTTTTTTAATTCAAAACAAATCTGTACAGATTGAGTCAAAACTCAAATACATAATTTTCTAATTTTTTTAAATTGACCTCCCTGTCGTTTATATTGCCATTTAAAAGTGCCTTTATTAAAGTTTCATTTGAGTCAAGGATTCTCTATACATAAAGTTAATGTGATGTTTGTTTATTTTCAAACAATAGTTTATTTATTAGTAATTTGTTTAAACACTTATTTATTTTTATAACAATACTATTCTAATTTATATATATTTCGAATGTCTCTGACTTGTTCACTATTTATATTCACAGTCCAATACTTTATTCTCAACTGTCTATTTACGACTGATTGCCTGCGTTCCTCCACCAATATTTATATACAATTTTTAAATTTCTGGTGGGCTCCAGAACGTTCTCGCCAAAATTAGAAACATTATTACATTATCACATATGTTTGGTCTTTTCTAATTAATTATGTATGATAATCGGACAAGTTGAGCCTTAAAGGCCAAATAAGACAGAGAGGGACTTGGAGGATTAGAGCATGACTGAATAATGAAATGGCTCACATTACATTAATAATTTTGTGAGATTTTTAATTTTTAATGAGAAAAAAGATAATTCACAAAATACTTTAAAGGGAAGTAAAAAGCTCAAAGTCTGTCGACCACATAAATTTATTAGGTTGCAAGCGCTTTCGACCTAAAAGGTCATCATCAGGCAAAAAAATTTTTGTAAGTGAGTAGGTACAATCTGCAATAATAATTTAAGGTATAACAAAACGTTTTTTATAGAAATGCTAGGTGTCTTACCACTATGTGTCCACAGAAAAATAAGTATGTTGAATTAAAATGTAAAATTTAAGTAAATTGTAAAATGTAAAAATTGTAAAAAATGGCACACACTGCCTCCCTCATTCGAGGTTGGATCCAGTTCTAGTTTTGAATTTCGCCTGCCTCCATCTGATGAAGGTGGTTTTGAATAAGATAAATTTTGAAGTTCCACATGTGTGCTTAAAGCACCATGTGTAAAGTGTTACTTTTTGGAAAGGTGAAATACAGCTACTCCCCCTATCCCCAGTACAAAAGGGGTAGACGGAGTCCCGCTCGTGTACACCCTTAAGCCTAAGCTTAAGGGGTATCATTAAATATTAACTTTTTGGAAAAACTCACTTATGATACTTTCGTCATCCAACGGTGAAGTTAAATGAGAAAATGGTGAAGATTTACGACATTTGACAACTGACATATGATGGAAGACACGTAGTTACAATGATGGTTGAGCTAATAATAATTAAATTTAGTTAAATTGAATATGTTAAATTAGTTTTGTGACAAATTTTAAAATATAAATTTAAACAATTTGACTTTGGTGTCTTGACAAGATGTCCAAGACTTTGGAGAGGCCACAAATAATCTCTGCTGGTGTTATGAAGTTAGAGTGACATTTGATTTTTTAAAAAAGAAGAATTTGACATTAGATTGAGGTTAAGGAAATTTATAATAAATAAGAATTTTTAAATAAAGGGGGCTATTATGTAAATATTATTACAAGTAAAAAGTTGAAGGATTTACAAAGGATTTAGGAAACTTGTAAGGATGATAGGATTCATTGTAGTTGTAATTGAAAATACTAGAAGGTTAATCTGGAAAAGATAGGCTTATATGTAGGTTGTAATTGATCATTTAAACAAACCACATCTGGGTTATTAATATGTTGATGAATGTAGTAAATTTCAAGTAAGTCCAGCTTAATGCCTTTGGGGCATTGGATAAGAAGAGAGGCGTTATCTGGAAAAGTGAAGTTATGTTTAGTATAGAGAACATGATTAGCAAATGTGGAATTGGTATCTGAAATATTCGAGGATTTATATCTGTTGATAGTTTTGTAATGTTCTAAAATTCGGGTTTCTGTCTTTCTTCCTGACTGGCCGACGTAGATGGCATTGCATTGCAATCATTGCAATTTAGTAAATATACCCCTGGTTTAAACTTAAACTTTGTTCGTTAATTAGTAATTAGAATTTAACCAGCTATAATTTATGATCGATTGAATAAGTTTTTAATAATTTCTAATAGGACTTTAACATTCAATAAAAAAAAATTAATAATAGCAACTAATCATAGACTCACTCTATTATAATACCAACTTTATTAGTCTATTATATTTTTAAGTTGACTTTGAAACCCCAATGCTGACGGTTCATTATTACTAACATCATTTGTTTTTAAAAAAGTCTAGCCAGTTTTTTAATAGCACCTTCAGTCGACAATAAGAGAAGTATTTCGAGTGCTACTTAATAAATGCTTAGAAATATGAGTTGCACCTTTGAAAACCAGCTTTAGACCTCCATACTAGTTTTTAGAAGCCTGAGAAACTTTTCTAATTATATAAAAATCTGTCAAAATGACAATTAATATGTTTAGAATAAAGTAGGTGGTATTATGTGAAGTTTTCGGTTGATATTTTCATTTATCTTTCTACAGAATCTGAAAGTTGCATTAGGTATCGTCAAAAACTTATTCAGTCGATAATAAATTATAGCTGGTTAAATTCCAATTACCAATTATCAGTCTATTTACTATTAACCAGTAACCAGTTAAAATTAAAGTATTTTGTGAATTATCATTTTTCTCATTAAAATTTAAAAATCTCCCAAAATATAAGATATAGGGAATGCTTAACTCAAATAAAACTTTAATTAAAATACTTTTAAATGGAAATATAAAAAAAATGAGGAAATGATCTATTTGAGTTTTGAATATGTACAGATTTGTTTTGAATTGAAAAAAGTGTGCACCGGCATAAAATTTTGACTATTACCCAAAAACCTTTTAAAGCAAAAAATTGGTTTTTAATCGTTTCTTTTGAAGTTAACAGGACATTAAAATCAACACGATTTTTATATAAAACTGGTTATAGCAGAATAATATCATATTATGTTGTATTGTTATAATGGGAAAAGCGATGGCAATTCAAATTTAAAAAAAAAAACTAACTTTGATATGTATCACTTTCTTGGAGAACCCTGTATAATTGAAATTATTTTTAAATAGTTACCGGTGGCCCACCCTGTATACACTTACACAATTTTATTACGATAATTACTTGTACTTTCAGCTGATTAAAATTACTTAAAAAAAAATTGATTTCAACAAATTAATAACTATTATTAATTTTTTTATCAACAACAAATTCTAAATAATATCTAATAAAAAGAATACATGTAGATAAAATTGATACTCAATAGGATACAAGAAGGTAATATTTAAATTGCCTAATAACTTTTTAGTGCCCTAGGGATCGTAAGTAAAACTTTATTGACATTGACACACGTCAAAAAAATCCATTTAAATGTCAGGAGTACAATAATTTGTCAATTATTTAAATAAAAATCCTAATTTAAATAGAAGAAGTACTGTTTGTAGAAAATACAGTTGTGGGGTTTTCAAATATTGTATATAGATAAAAGCAGTAGTGTATAAGATTTGCTCAATCAAAACTGGTTAAAAAAATAATATTTTTACTTACCGATATTACTTTTAATACACCTGAAACAAAACAAAAAATTAATATTTTATAATAAAATCTCAAGGTTAAGATATTTTAAAACTGATGTCAATGCCAATAATTAATTATTAATTATATAGATATAAGTTAACTTAATACTTCATTACCCAATTACGTTCCCAGAATGAGAGTGCATAGTAATATGTGCTTACAACTAAATTCAGGATTTAAGTATTATTTTTTACGTGTCTCAATACAAAGTAAGATAGGACTGCCTAAATTCTCTGGAAAAACATAACACAAGATAACTCTCCAACAGGTGTTAAGACTTGAAGGAGTGTTGAAAACAGGAATGTAAATTTAGTCATTCCTTTATTAAAAAAAAATTCTAGTATAAACCGTGAGCCAGTGAATCCCCAATTTATAATACAAAATTTATAGCATAGAAACTATTTTTTTTGTTAAAAAATAAGGTTTTCCAAGAGTGGTATATCAATAATTATTATACTATACAGCGATTTCAAACTGACCCACTAACCGAATAAAGTGTCCATTAATCGAATACTTCCGTAATTGACATAACTATTAGCAGAAAAGCTATCACCAATTACTCCTAATCAGTCAAAATAATAGAAAACTACATTCAACCATTTAAAATACCATTACCAATTTACTATTAACATAATAATTTCTAATGGCGACTTCTGACATTTATGGAAAAAGTTAATTTAAAAAAAAAGAAAAAATCTTTTGCGTCGATCAGTGTATTTTAATGTTTATTTTATAGCGGATCGTTGGCTTACTGAGGAATGTATTTTAATAAAAGAAATTCTATTATTTATACGTGATTATGTTGTCAATTTGTTAATGCCACCAACTCAAAGTGAATGTTTTTCTAATCAATCAAAGTTTATTATTATTACAAAATAATAGTATATTATTTAACGAGTATTGAGTATAATATTTACTGTAAATCATACGAATAGGATATAAGTATTTTACTTTTTCTACTACTGTAATACCAAATAATATAAAAAATTAGGTACATTTGACAGTATGTAAAACATTTCTATATTTTTTCATTTCTTTCCTTAGATATTTTTGAAGTAAAGTTGGTGCTTGTCACCAGTGGCGTTGCGTGGCGTCGATACGAGGGGATGTAATGAGTAATGAGTAACTGCGATTCACATTTTATAAAAAAAATTAGTTTTTTTATTAAAGGATTTAATTTTGAACTTACAAATAAAGTATACAATAAAATGTGACAGATTAAAAAATAATCAAATTATTAAAAAACGAAATTAAAGTAATAATAATAATAATAATAAATTATTCACTTTAAAAATCGAATTACAATTTTAACTTATATTTAACAGAAAAAAATTGTCTATGTGAATAAATAGTGGTTCCACTAAAGGCGAACCTTGTGCGTGAGATACTTTGAGAATTATATTCTACATAGCATTTCTTTTTTTTACTATTTTTTCTTTTATTTATTATAGAGACAAATTAGCTACAGCATTGAATAGTTTATAAATAATTATTGTATACATAAATAATTGGATAATTGCAGGTAAGTTCTTTTTAGATTTTAGTTAAATTTAAATTAATAAAGTCATGAAATTTTTGTCGTTGCTTAGTTAATATCCATTGTTGTAATTTAGACCTATAAAGAGCTATAGAATTTAGGTTTTTAAATTCCACCGGAAGTGCGTTAAATATTTTAGGACCGAGATATACAAAAATTCTTTGCCCTAGAGTCTTTTCCATTCTAGGTACGGTGATCACATGATTTTTATAACGCGTTGGGTATAAATGTTGTACCGGAGTGCTAAGCAAAATATGCTTCTTCTGAAATATTGCTACACGTAGGTAAAAAAGTTGTCTCAAATCCAAAACTTCTGCTTCTCCAAATAAACTTTCTGTTGGGTAAGTATAGTTTTTATTATAAATAATTTTTAAAATCCATTTTTGTATTATTTGTAAATGTTTAATATGGATATCTGCTGCACCTCCCCAAGCGATAATACCATAGGTTAGATGAGTCTGTATTAATGCATAATAGAGCATCTTTAAGTGGGGGATATCCAAAAAACATTTTAAAAATTTAAATTTTGCTAAATGGAATCTAATTTTCTTTATAACACTACTAATGTGTGCATTCCACTTTAAATTACAATCTATTATAATTCCTAAGTATTTAGTTGTTTTTGACATTTTTATACAAACATTTTCATTGTTGTAATTTATATTAATTGAATCATATTCAGGTAAATTTGAATCGTAACTAGTAAATGGAAGAAATGTTGTTTTATTAAAATTAATTGTTAACAATTTGTTACGAAAAAAATCTAAAACAATAGGTAGGGAGTTAATTATTTTTTTCTTTAGGGTATTCCAATTAGTATCTTGGTAGTAAATGGCCGTGTCGTCGGCGAAACCTATGATTTATGCGGGTATAGGTAGTTTAAAAAGGGCGTTAATATATATATATATATATATATATCTATATATATATATATATATATATATATATATATATATATATATATATATATTAAACATAGGACCAAGAACGGTACCTTGGGGAATGCCAAATTGTATTGTTTGCTTATCACTCATAGAGTCGCCAATACTGACATACTGTTCTCGATCAGTTAGGTAGCTCTTTAGTAGTTGATAGGCTACTCCTCTGATGCCTAAGGTATTTAATGTTTCTAATAAATCTGGATGACTCACCGTGTCAAATGCTTTGGCGAGATCTACAAAGATACAAATTGCAGGCATTTTTGTGTCTATAGATTTGTATATTTTGGATGTTATGTCAGCAATTGCATCTTCGGTAGACCTCCCCTCCACAAACCCATATTGTTTAGAAGATAATAATTTGTATTTGTTGATAAAATTACACAATCTGAATTTAATTAATTTTTCTATTATTTTACTCATACTGGACAGGATCGATATGGGTCTGTAGTTTGACATTTCTATCTTATCCCCAGCTTTATAAAGTGGTTTTATAACTGCATTTTTTAGAGAATTAGGAAATATTCCAGTAGTAAAAATTTCATTTGCTATAAAAGTCAGTGGATTTTTTAAATAATGTACACATCTTTTATAAACCTCAGAAGGTTTTAAATCTTTTATAATTTTAACCACCTCCTGTTCTTCCACAGGTTCTAAGTATATGGAGTTAGCTAGTCTCCTTTCATTGAATTTCCTAGATGACTTTTTAATTTTTTTTGCAAGAATGCTACCTACCTCTGTAAAATATCTGTTAAACACATTTGCAATTTCTGTTTTGTTTGTTATATTTATGTGGTTCTGTTTTATTTCACATATCTCCTGTGTTTTATCATGATTTTTAATATTTTTTACAACTTGCCACATATGTTTTGAGGAATTCTTATTTTTAATAATTTCATTTTTGTAGTAGTCAGTTTTGGCAATTTTTATCAGATCATTTAGTTGGTTTCTGTATATTTTGAATTCTTTTAAAGCTTGTGTATTGTTTGGTTGTTGTTTAACTGTTTTATATAAAGAATTCTTAATATTAATAGATTTTACTAAACCTTGTGTAATCCAAGGACTACGTTTGAAATGAGAACGGTTAATCTTTATTACCCGGCTACTTGAGTTTACATAATATTTTAATTTATTAATAAACATATCTGTCATTTCATTAACATCTATGGAGGAATACATATCTACCCAATTTTCCTGTGATAATATTTTATGTAATGTTTTAAGGTGAAGGGTGAGAAAAAGTCCTTTATATCTCACAAGGAAAGCCAATGTTTAATTGTTTAACAAAACATTGAGTTTCGAAGTTTCGAAGTTTCGAAGTGTCATCACTTCATCTTCAGGCTCGCCATACTCTCCATCCACTAGGGAATACTACAAAAACAAGTTTCATCAATTTTGGGTTGAAATAAATTGTAAAATTAACCGATTTACACGTAATAAAAAGTTAAAAATATTTGAAAAAACAAATATTAGTCAATTATAGTAAAAATTTTAAAATATTCAAGACTATACAAAAACAAATCACATACATTAAACAGATTAAAAGATAAGGCCTATTTTAAACATTGTTGTTTTTTTAAAAAAATTGAATTTTTTTTAAAAAAACAACAATGTTTAAAATAGGCCTTATCTTTTAATCTGTTTAATGTATGTGATTTGTTTTTGTATAGTCTTGAATATTTTAAAATTTTTACTATAATTGACTAATATTTGTTTTTTCAAATATTTTTAACTTTTTATTACGTGTAAATCGGTTAATTTTACAATTTATTTCAACCCAAAATTGATGAAACTTGTTTTTGTAGTATTCCCTAGTGGATGGAGAGTATGGCGAGCCTGAAGATGAAGTGATGACACTTCGAAACCGGTCGCACTCAATGTTTTGTTAAACAATTAAACATTGGCTTTCCTTGTGAGATATAAAGGACTTTTTCTCACCTTTCACCTTAAAATTACCTCAACTCACACATGGCTACCCCCCCTTGTCAATTTTATGTAATGAATTGTAATCACATATTACTTTATGATATTTGTTTTGACTTGAATCTTTCAGATTTGATGGATACTGGTACTGTAAAATTTGAGAGAAGTGATCAGTTAGTGAAGACCGGAGTACTATGGGTACTATATTTTCTAAGGACTCGCTTGTATTAACATGAAAATGGTCCAGGCAGGTTTTACTACTACCCTGTATTCTCGTAGGTGAATTAATCACTGATATGTATCCATGTTCATGCAAAATATTTAGATACTCTTGACTTACATCAGTTTCCTCCAATATATTAATATTTATGTCTCCAACAATTATATTTATGTGATTATTTTGTTTATTTTGTTTTAAATAGTTGTATAGATCCTGATTGAATTGGAATGAATATGTACTGGGCGATCTATAAATTGCTAATAATTTAAATGATTTATTTAATTTATGGATAACTATTTCTAGTGCATTTATATTGTTTAGAGATACGATTTTATAGTTGTATGTTAAATTGTTTTTAATATATACAACTAC